GGGGGGCCGGGACCCAGGGACCCCCCGCCCGGCGAGACTCACAAGCTGGTGGTCGTGGGCGGCGGCGGCGTGGGCAAGAGCGCGCTGACCATCCAGTTCATCCAGGTAGTGGGCCCTCTCCGGGGAGGGTGTCCCCGAGGAATTTGAGTCCGTTGGGGGTTCCCTGAAACTTTTACTTTTCCCAGAACCATCACTGAAACTCTTCTAGAGAGGTCTCTAATCCTAAAAGATCCCTGCAGGTTGCTACTCAAGGTACCCAGGACCTCCACCCCCTTCATGCAGGGAAGCTTTCTCCTAATACGTCCTGTGGCATATCACCCTCCCAGAGCTAGGTACCTGAGATCCCTTGTTCCAGCGGACCTGGCCCTGCTCATCTCCTGGGAGTACCTAAATTCCTAACAATTGCTCCATTCAGATCCTAAGCACTCCCTGAGTCCCCGACCCCTGAACCCTGTCTGTCTGGAGCCCCAGCTTCTTCACTCCTTAGCCACTGGCCCAGCAGCTGTGCTCAGGACTTTTGACTTCCCACAGCTGGAACCCTGGTCCTTCTATTCAGGGACCTCCCCCAGACTTTAGAAATTTTTGCCAAGATCGTGGTTCTAGGACTCTACTGGGACTACGCAGTCCTCAGAAAGGCATCCTGTAACCCCTGCTTGAAGAAAATTTCCTCTCAGACCTTAGGAAGATTCTACCACATGACTACCCTTGGAAAACACCAATATCTGGCAGTACCCTATTCTGCTAAATGCAGACCCTCATCCTCCCGCCCATCACCCCCAAGAAAAACGAACCATTTCTCCACCCTAAATTCTCCACTCTATTCCAATGTCCTGCCACCCCCCCCCCTCACCTCCAGTAACTCTGGATAGCTCCCAAGTCATCTCCACTTTAAAACAAAAACAAAAACAAACAAAACCCTCAGGTTTTTCACAACCTCCAAAGACCTGATACTTGGAAGGTTTAGGACCCTTGAATGCACCTCTAGGTCTCCACAACGTTGTAAACCTACCCTCCAAGATTGCCCCAAGCTGTGCTTATTCTTGAGCGTCTGCTAAGGCGCAGAGCTGTCTCCCCACACGAACCAAGCCCCATCCTTCCAAGGCTCCGCTCCTACACCCCTCCAGCCCCAGCCCTCAGCAAACAGTCCTAGAGAGGAAGCCACCTTCAGCCCCAGCAGCCAAGTTCTGAAAATCCAGCCCAGCCCCGGAAACCTCCACCCAGTTCCCACGGGTGCCCCCCCTTCCCCCTCCCAAGGCAACACTAGGAAAGCGAGAGCCCATTTACTGCTGCAGTAGAGATTCCTGGGTAGTAGATACACACACGCAAGGCGCCTCCAGCTATGCCTTTGAGAAGCCTACAAGGGAAGGAAGAGCCCAAATTTGAGCACTTGGCACCCAGGGTCAAACCCGGAGTTGGCGGGAGTCCTGACTGAAGGCTGCAGGACCCAGGCAGGAAGGGAGGGGCGGGTTGAGGGTGGGGCGCCTCTCCGAAGCAGGATTGGAACCTAGACTTTCCCCAGGGAGGAGACGCTGGAGTCTGCTTATGGAGGAGGGAAGAAAGATAGGGGAGGAAGGGAAGAGAGGCAAGATAGGGAGCTACTTTGGTCAACAAGAGCTCTCAGAAGCTGATCGCCAACTATCACCAGGCAAGTGTGAAGTGTTGAGCAGAGAATTCCTGCAAATCAAACACTAAGATGGCACAGTGCTTTCATCCTCCTTCTCCAAAAGAGGAAACTGAGACTCTCAGAGGGAGAGTGACTCGTAATGTGACGCAGCAGCCGAGGGGGTTATGGCAAGGACACTTTATACCGAAGAAAACGGGCTGAGAGGTCATGTGGGCCTTGGTGACTGGGGACAGGCAGCCAGAAAGATGGAATTGGAACAGCTAGAGAGGCAGGACAGAGACCCAGAGGGATGGAAAGGGAAAGAGATGGGACAGACAGACAGAGACACGGGCAGCAGTGGGGGAGACAGGTACATGGCGGGGGGGGGCGGAGAAAAGAGGAGGGAGAGAGACAAAGAGAAAAAGATGGATAGGCAGCGACTCAGGAGAAGACAGGGAGAGAGAGAAATACTGAGACCCAGAGAAAGAGTGAGGACAGAGACCAAAGGAGATAGACCCAGAGAGGGCCAGAAGGGAGGATCTAGGGACAGGGCTCACGCGTGCATGCACACACACAGTCACAGAGTGCTTTGGTGACAGTGGCCTCTCTGTCCCGCAGTCCTACTTCGTATCTGACTATGACCCCACCATTGAGGATTCCTACACAAAGATCTGCTCTGTGGATGGCATCCCCGCGAGGCTGGACAGTAAGGACAGCTGGGCTCAGATGGGAGGCAGGTAACAGGGCAGCCTGGGACCCACATATTCCTCTCCCTGTCTCCGCAGTCCTGGACACTGCAGGTCAAGAGGAATTTGGTGCCATGCGGGAGCAGTACATGCGTGCTGGCAACGGCTTCCTGCTGGTGTTTGCAATCAATGACCGACAGAGGTGAGGGCAGGTGCTGGGAGACCTGGCTGAGCACGGGGCAGGTTCCTCCCTAAGGCGGCCTCACACTACGGGCTTCTCTTGCAGTTTCAATGAGGTAGGCAAGCTCTTCACTCAGATCCTCAGAGTCAAGGACCGCGACGATTTCCCCATTGTGCTGGTTGGGAACAAAGCAGATTTGGAGATACAGCGCCAGGTTTGGGATGCCCCTTCCTTGATGGCCCCATTTGGACCTAGGAGGCTCTCTTGGGGAAACCTCTCCTTCTCTGGGTCCCCAGTCCCTTCACTGTCATAACTTTCACTTCGACGGACCCACAAATGGAACCATCCATCACTGAGCCACACCCCCAGGGACTCATTGGGAGATTCTAGAAAGTGCTATGCCATAGAGTTACTTACTTCCTTAGCCCTCACTGGGGGATTCTAGGCAGGGGTTCCATCGCTGGTCGGCCCTGACCATCACACAGTCCTTTGCTACTGCACCCTAGCTGCAGTGTGCACCCCTCTCCCTAAGAACACCCTTAACTGCTTGCCTGCCTCTCTGAAGTCTCACTTAGATATAGCTTCAGCTCCCCAGCATCCTTCTGTTGGGTCTTTCTTCCTTGAGCCTGCTCAGGTAATAAACTAGCACATCTTGCTTCTGTCAGCCCCCCCCCCCCCCCCCCCACTCCTTGCTTTGTCCCGTGCCATCTCCGTCCAGGTCCTCCGATCTGAAGCGTCCACTTTCAGTGCTGCCCGCCACATGGCTTACTTTGAGGCCTCAGCCAAATTGCGTCTGAATGTCGACGAGGCATTTGAGCAGCTGGTCCGGAGTGTCCGGTGAGTACAGTCCCCTCTCCTGCCTTCCTGGCCCTCGACCCTCCAGCCCATACTTACCTACCCCTTCCCACAGGAAATACCAGGAGCAAGAACTCCCTCCTAGCCCTCCCAGTGCTCCCAGGAAGAAGGGTGGGGGCTGCCCTTGCGTCCTGCTGTAGCCAGCTAGCCCCAGGCGGCCAGCACAAGCTCTCCCGGGACCAGCTGCCTCATACTCGTGTGGCCTGAGGCTCTAGCTGAGCCCCAGTCTCCTCTGGGTTTTCCAGGACACACTACACCCTCGACCTTCACTTCCTGGCCTCCCAGGGCCACTGAGTGCCTTCTGTCAATACCTCCTTTCCCCACCCAAGCCCCTGGTGGGATAGGAGCTCCTTGTCACTGCTGTATATAAGTCCCATCTTTCAGAAAAATAAACATCACTGCCTACAGCTGGAGATGCCTTTTATTGAGTGGATGCAGTAGTTGCTGGAGGTGGACCCTGAGTCTCATTCCTTCTAGCAAGGGCCCAACCTCTGAGCTGCATCCACCGTCCAGATTTCTTCCCCCAAGATAGGGTTCCTCTGTGTAGCCCTGGCTGTCCAGAAACTCACTCTGTAGATCAGGGTAGCCTCAAATTCAGAGATCTGCCTGCTTCTACCCCTCAACTGCAGGGATTGAAGGCACACACCCCCACACTCTGCTCTTTCTATTTTCCTAAATGGGAGTGGCCATTTGGCTATATGACCGAGCAGGTAAAGGTGCTTGGTACCAAGCATGACTTCCTGTGTTCAAAACCCAGAACCCATAAGGTGTGTAGAGGGGGCAGGGGAGGAACAGAAAAAGAAAAACCAACTCCTGCAATTGTCCTCCTATCTTTATATGAACGCTGTGGCACTTGAGCGTGTGCTGGGTAGTTTTATATCAACTTGACACAAGCTAAAGTCAGAAGAGGGAATCCTAATTGAGAAAATGCCTCCAAAAGATCCAGCTGTTTTGTTTTTTGAGACAGGTTTTCTCTATGTAACAGTCCTGGCTGTCCTGGAACTCATGCTGTAGACAAGGCTGGCCTGGAACTCAGAGTTCTGCCTGCGTTTGCCTCCTGCGTGCTGGGATTAAAGGAGCACGCCACCTCTTCCCAGCTGTGGCGCGTTTCTTAACGACTGGGGAAAGAGAGCCCACCCTAGGATGCGGCCCAGTTTTATGAGACAGCAGGCTGAGGAAGTGATGACGAACCAGTAACAACACTCCTCCATGGCCTCTGCATCCGCTCCTGCCTCCAGGATCCTGTCCTGACTTCCTTCAAAGATGTGGAAGTGGGATTTTTTTTTTTTTTGGTCAAACTGTTTCCTCATAAATTTGCTTTTGGTCGTGGTGTGTATTACAGCAATAGTAACCCAAACACACACACACACATGCACGCACGCACGCACGCACGCTAAATAAATGTAGTAACATTTCTAAAAATTTAAGCCAATGTGGGTGGTACATGCCTGTAACTCCAACACTTCAACGACTGGGACAGGAGAATTAGACCACAAATTCAAGCCCAGTTTAAACTCTATGACAAGACCGTGTCTCAGGAGAAAAAAAGTATTATCTGCTCAATATGGTAGCCAGAACCTACATATGGCTGTTGAAATTAAAATTAATTTTCTCAGCTGGACAGTGGTAGTGCATGCCTTTGATCCTAGCACTCGAGGCAGGTGGGACTCTGAGTTCAAGGCCAGCCTATTCTACAGAGCAAGTTCCAGGATAGCCAAGGCTTCACAGAGAAACCCTGTCTTGGCAGAAATTAAATAAATAGATGAATTAATTTCCTCAAATTCAAGAGCTCAATAATCGCTCATGACTAGTAGTGAAACGTAACCAGCAAAGCAAATGTCCAAGACTCTGGCTGCAGAGGGCCTACTGGAAACGCTATTCTAGAAAGTTCGAGACAGACAGATGACCCTGCCGTCAGACTCCCACCTCCACTCTCCATGCTAAGGAAGTTCTTTTAGCTGGGGAAAGGCATAGGTCCAAGAAACACCACCTTTATATATTTAGATCCTGCCATACAGTGTGACATCCTGGAGGGCACCAGAGATAAACCTCCAACCCAATCTGATCCCCCCACACTTATTTTTACCCCCGAGACAGGGTTTCTCTGTTACTCCGGAGCCTATCCTGGAACTAACTCTTGTAGGCTAGACTGGCCTCAAACTCCCAGAGATCTGCCTGCCTCTGCCTCCCGAGTGCTGGGATTAAAGGCGTGCACCACCACCGCCCGGCTTTTTTCTTTTTACATTTATTTATTTAGCTTTACTGAGAGGTCTCAAGTAACCCAGGCTGGCTTTGAACTCTTGATCCTCCTACCCGCGCTCCCCAACTGCTGGGGCTACAGGTATGAGCCAGCACACCTGTCTCCGTACCTCTGAGTACCAACACTTACCCAGCACAACAGTCTGACACTCCATCCGAGCAGTCTGTCCCGTGCTGAACTGACCTACCAAACACGTTGGCTTTGAACACCTCTGGGCCTAGTTCTAGAACCCCTCATACCTACTGCAGGTTCTGCCTCCTGATCCCAGGTACACTGTGGCCTTGCCTTGCCCCTGGCAAATAGAGTCTAGAACAGCAGCAATCTGGCATTTCTGTGCAAGTTGCCTGCCTTAATGCTTCTTCTCTGAGAAGATGCAGGCTACAGTTGGCCCTTCCAGAGCAGTCCACTCCCTACTGGCTATTTTGTATGAACATCCATGACCCACCACTTTCTGTCCTGTCCTGGGACTATGAACATTTCTCTGGATTCCAGATCAGACAGTTGATTCAGTGTCCCTTTCCGGTGTTCCCTTACATGGAGCCTTGGCCCATGTTCAACTTTGTGCCCTGGGACTGGGCAAGGATAAGAACATGCCTTAGCATGTTTGCTCCCAGCCCAAGGAGGGGTTTCCCCCTTTGGAGAACCTGTAGCTGGCTGCAGCCTTCTCATCCTCTGGGTCAAGGCTTCCAAGTCTCAGGAGCCCAGTGTGGGGGCACGTTGCTCTTGCCAGCCAAGGGTCTGCTTCCCAGCAAACATTCCCCAAAGAGCTGATCAGGAATTATTTCCCACCATGCATTAAGGCGGAGCTCTTGGCCTGGACACCATGGTTCTTGGAAGGCCAGGATGCATACTGGGACCGTGACAGGGTGACAGGTTACTACTTGCCCCCAGAAGCAGCACAAGAATGTGCATGACAACTGCCAGGCCATTTTTGGAAGGCTTCAGGCCACTGCCTTTCTGAAGTTTCTAGGAGTCAAAGGCTGTCACACAGCCTTGCTGGCACCTCTCTAGGCCCGTGTTTGTCTGTGGCAGGGTTTCTGCCCTTTCCCAGGCTCTGGCAATATCTTGTTTTCTAGGATTGCCTCCACTCTACCTTCCTCCCTCAGGATCCCCACATGCCAGGCTTGTCTATTTTTTGATGTACGTGCACACACTGATCGGCCTGCCTCAACTAGAAACAGCTGAGGCTCAAACTTAGCTGGGGGTTTTAACCAAAAGACAACAGTCCTACTCTGGCGGGGCAGTCTCTTCAGGTCAAACTTTTGTTCTAGAATTCAGAGCTGGGATCATAGTTCTGACCCTGGGGGATCTCCAGCTTCTGTTTGCAGGACCAATTCATAATCTAGAACAAGCCATTGCCTACTGGCCTGCAAGCCACAGTTCATGGGCACTCAAGGCCTACTCTTAGCCCTCGCTAGAAAGCCGTCTCTAGGGCTAACATTCTCATTCTAGTGCGTCCCTACACCCCAGTGCAGAGCTGGGGGAACTCAGTACCTTCTCCACACTAGGTTAGTACTCTACCACTGAACCACACCCAGCCCCTCACTAGGAGATTCTAGGCAGCTGCTCCACCAGCCAAGACCCGACCGCCCCCCCTTCAGGCTGGTCTGGAGTTCCCTCCTGAGACTACATGTGCAGGCCAGCATGCCCAGCATCGATTGAACTTGACCCCTGCAAGCTCTTGGAGGGTTGCGGGGACACTTTGAACAGCAAATGTGTCTGTAGCATGGGCCCTGACATCGCCATGGTACAGGCCTGTTCTCCCAGTCAACTAAATGCTCCACACCAGCCTAGGCTGTCCCAAGTGCTTCTAGGTCACTTACCCCCAGAATCTGGCGGTTGTGGAGGGGGCCCTCAATTCTGTAATAAAAATTGCTACCCAGCTCCTGACACTTGCTCTCCCTGAATCAACCTGCAAAGTTCATTTAAAATCCTGATGTATTTAGAAAGTGGAACTTGACCAGGTGGAATGGCACATGTCAAGTGGAAGCAGGAGGATTAGAAATTTAATGTCAGTCACAGTTACTTGGTGAGCTCGGGCCACAGGAGACCAACAGAGTGGAGTTCAACTGTCTTCTATAAAAGCTACCCAGCATGGTCCTCTGGAAGAGCGGCTACGTTCTGAACTCCTGAGCTGTCCCTGCAGCCCCAAGGCTCCCCAGGGCGTCTGTGACACTGTGGCAACAGCAGATGACATACGTAGCCACCATACTGTAAAAATGCTCAAGGAGGTCCGTGGAGACACACACAGTAAAGAACTGAGGCCTCCAGCCCACAGCCTTCCATGGGGGATCCTGCAGCCACAACCCCTAGGAAGCCTGGCAGGTATCTCCTCCTCCCTCTTGGAAGAGATCCCCGCCCACCCCACATCGTTGATTTTGACAAACCGTAACAAAATTCATGCTTGTATGAGATCATCAAATTTCAGGGCCACGTACACACTAGCCCTAGGCTGTCTACCTGAGCGGGCGTCACTAAAGCCACTTTGGCAACCCTTGCTCCCACTGCCCAGGCCGCCGCACCGCCACCCACCGCACCGCCGCAGACAGAGCACTCCAGCCTGCTGGGAAAGTGTTGCTGTTGGGTCTCGTTTGGCTGGTTCTGTGTACACAGTGTATACAAGGGGAGCTGTACAGCGCCCAAGAGCAAGAGGTCCGGGAGAGGAGGGGACAGGGCAGAAAGGAGCAGGGGTGGGGCAGAGAAAGGCATTAAAAAATAGAACCACATTGAGAAGACAAAGGGAAGTGGGGCTGAGGGTGGGGGAGACAGATGCTGTAGAAAAGGAACAGGAGGGGCAGGGCGAGGGGAGCCTTCTCACCCTCCCTCTCCACCCCTCCCCCACCCTAGGTATGTACAATAAATAAGATTAAAAATAATTAACAAGATGTTTGGCCCCTCCCACCCAACACCACACACCCCTGGGGAGCAGCCTTTAGCCAAGATGTTGGCTTGGAGGGGGAAGCTTGAGAGGGGAGGGGGGCCCCCAGTTCTCTCAAGTTGCCCCACCTCCCTCAACCATACATAGAATTTTCCTATACATTATGTACACAGTGGAGGGGCAGGAGCGATGGCTGTGTTGGGAGGGCTGGGCCAGGGCGAGTGTTACTAAATAGACATTTATACATATATATAAATAATTTCTCTGTA